TATCCACCATTAAACACGACAAGGCTACTGTCGGAGTTTTTTAAGTATTATCCGAGGTTCTACCCGATTCGTTAGGGACAAATACTCGAATTTCGGTGGTGCCACTTATTATAAGATAGCACCACATCAATTCTTGAAGGTCTTCCTGAGTCCGTCTTTTTCGATGGGAACGATTTGTCTCCTGAACTGGGCTCCGGTGACTAACATCTTTGGAGTGGCCAGGTCAGAAGCAGTGAAATTCACGTTCTCGTCGAGCTGCCTCAGGTCGACAGTAGAACAAGATTTTGTTTTTGGTTCTTACTTTGTCTTGTTCTCATTTTTTTTCTCTTTTTAAGCCAACAGCACGTGGCGTTCTCAAACGGTCACCCATCCAAGTTTGCACCACGCCCGATGCTGCTTAACTTCGGTGATCGTACGGGAACCGGTGTGACCAGCACGCTATGGCCGTTGGCTAATTATTATTATTATTATTGTTATTATTATTATTATTTCATTCGTTTTTTTATCCCCCCTCAGCCCACCCACCTTGAGCAAATCCGCATCCGTTCATTCGTCAATTTTATAATTTTTTTGCGTTCGAATGGTACCCGTGGGAAAAACCCGGGGCCGGGGACGGGGAAGGAAAGGGGGGGGAATTTAAAGCGATTAACGAATATGAAATTCCCTCAGGATTCAAATCGTTTTTTGTTTTTGCGAGGGGGAAAAAGGAGGGCAAAGGTCGAACGTGCGATTTACGTGAGTAAACAGAACGCGAAATGGGAAATGGGAAAAGCCTAAAGAAAATTGACGAATTCGACGTGTTGGGTAGAGGGGGGAGGGGGAGGAGAGAGGAAAGAATGCCGGTGTGTTGTCCTCCCACGGGTATAAAATCAAAAGGGAGAAAAACGCGGGAAAAACAAACAAACAAACAAACCAATAAATTAATTAATTAAATTAATTACTCGTTAAAATGTTGTTTAATGATAATGATAATTTATCTTTTATCTTTTTTTTTTCTTTCATTCTTTTTTTAGTAAGAAAACAAACGAACAAACAAAACAAAAAAAGAAAATGTGATTAGATTGTTATTGTTGTTGTTGTTGTTGTTTGTTGGCGAACGTGTAAGAACTCATCGATTCGACCGATAGAAAAATTTATTATTATTATTATTGTTGTGTTTTGTTTTAACTGCAAGTAAAATCGAGTTAAGGTGCGGAACAAACGAGCGAACAAACGAACAAACGGAATGATGGAAAAAACAATAAAACCGTTGCCGCGTTCGGTCGGCACTCCATCGGCGGGTACTCGCGAAAAAATAAGATAAAACTCAACAACGACAGC